CTAGTGCATTTTTGCACTCTAAAACCTTTTAGAATAATAATAGTAATAATAGTAATAATAGTAATAATAATAATAATAATAATAATAATAATAATAATATGTCCACTATATACACAGTTTGATTTAAGGCAAAAGGTTAAAGACACAGTCTGGAATTCTTGAGTTATCTTTTAAAAACAGTGATCTTGGGAATAAAATACCTTCCTAACTATAAGAAAATTTGGGTTCCACTACTTTCTTTTTCTGACTGAGTTAATAAGAATATAGTAGGCACGTGATACTTGTTTATTTGAATTTTTGTGACCTTGTTATCGTTTTGCATGTTTCAGATTCACAGATTTCAAGCTGGAAGAAGACCCATTCATTGCCTGCTCTTGTAGTGTGTTAGTTCTAATGTCTAAGATTTTGAGCTGCTTTAGAAAAGTAGGGCCATTACATAAAAAATACATACTCATTTTATAAAAAGATGACTAGTCTTTGTCAGTATATGTTCATTTCCTCAGGGTGCTGAACACTTGTGGCCCCTTAAGCAAGCCATGTATGTCATAATTGTCTGCAGTATGAATAGGCTGCCCTAGAGTATAGGTTAATTATTTTTTCTCCTCTTAGTTAGAATATAATTTCTTCATCAACCACTTTCACCTAACCAAAAGGAAATCTACGAGCTGCTTTTAAAATAATTGCAATGTTTAACTCGTGCAGTTACCAAATCATGCTTTTTTCCATCTTTCTGATTAAAATTCCGTAAGCAACATTAGTCTTACATTTACATTGGCATGACATTAATTCAGTTAGTTATACTAAATATTATAATAATAATAATATTTAATTATAATAATTAATAAAAGCCAGCGTTTCCCGAATGTCTACTATGTGCCAAAGGATTAAAGTTCAGTGCTAAACTTATTTTGGGGATAAGGTTATGAATTTTGATAGTGAAACAGGACCCAGAATATAATTGTGAATTGATTGGAATGTTGTAATTGGCTGTGTTGCATAGTTTCTCATGGTGAGATCATGTTAACTGTGTTGGCCACATATTCAGCGACTCTTTGCTGTTGCCTGCCAGATAGGTTTACATTAGCCTCACCTTTCTTTTCTTCATGTATCATTATACCTGCATTTGTAGTCTTAATTCTTTGAATCAATGCGAATCTTCTTAAATGGTTACATACTGTTGACCATTGTCAGTATAGTGGTATGAGGGCTAAACAATGGGAGAATTCATGTTTTCTAAAAAGAAATGACTACTTTTTATATCTTGCTACAAATTTTCAGTTTCTACCATCAAAAAGTATTAAGTGTTTATATGTTTATGGTGCCATACAAGTCAAATGGTTCTTCTAGGAACTTAAATCTAAAGTATCTAAAGGGATTACTATTAATATACTTTTTATTTTATGAAAAATTCACATGTGTGTTAAACAAATCCTAGATATTGGACAAATATCAGAAGAGGTTTAGAAGAATGAAATTTTAGTCAGAAAACTTGACTTTTTTCCCCCTTTAGGAATGAAATAGAAGATTTTATATTAGAAACATGAATTTAGAATTCAGAATAAGTGTTGCTTGTGACATCAAATTTTATTGTTATTTATCAAGTGGAAATTTAATCAACATTTTTTTAAAGTAAAAGCTTCAGGTTATATATATATATTCACCTTAGTAAATTCGAATTCCCTTCCTGCTCCTCCTCTTCCCTTTCTCTCCCTCCCTTTTTTTTTTTTTGATTAGTAACTTTTTAAAGTTAAAAGCTATGCTAAAGGTACTCATTTCTCCTCAGAATATAAAGTTTCTTCCTAAGATTTAGAGCATTTATTTTCTATGTAAAGAACATTTATATGCCCCAATGGACGTGAGAAGGTCATGGGACTACTGCTCAGTGAGCCTTATCTTAGCCAAGTGGTGGTAATGAATGCCTCCTCACGACAATCAAAGCAGCACATCAGATGGAGAAAGTTGCCTCTTCCTTGTGTACTTTAATTTCATTCAGAATGGATGGTGCTTGTTTCCATCATCTTAAAGATACAAAATTATTTATAGGATATTTTCAGTGAATCTTCTTGTTTTTACCAAAACTCTGGACAAACCACTTGGAAATTTTTGCATAACATACAAGAATCATAGTAAAATATTTAATTAATATGTTTGTTTTCTCATTCTGAAATGCCATTCAAATAATGTTTCTTGTAAAGAGATTTTGTGTAGTTCACTTAAGAGCTCTGCATATCAGTTATATAAAAGACTGAGCACAGGCAGACTTCCACAGAAATTAAACTATGGTCTTGCTTAGTTGAAGTAAATATTTTCAGGAATCTTATTTAGAAAGAAAGTTTTCCTAAATAGTTTTATATTAGGTAAAATTTCATATTTTTATGTGATACAATGTAACCTAGGTTAATTTTTTTAAAGTGCTATTAGTCTTTTTTCTTTTCTTTTAAAAAAATCAACCTATAGCCACCCTCTTTAATTTAGCTGTTAATTAGGACTTGTTTACATAGATGAGATTTCTGTATGTGATTTTTATCTTATGTGCAAAAACATTGTAGTAAATAACCTCTACCTTTGTATGGATCAAATGGATTTACTGATTGAACAACTATTTGAGTATTTACACAACTTTCCCTAAAATTTTATTTACACTTCAAAATCAGTACTCTATTTTAAAATTGATCCACCAGGGAACTAAAATTAGTGCTTTAATTTTAAGCTTTCTTTCTTTAGGAAAAATAACTATGATTTTATAACCACTGTGATCTCCATGATGTTTTTTAAAAACCCAGTTGGCAATTCTGTGATTAATTTGTATATAATAAACTTCTTATCAGAATACTTTTTTAAATTATAAAACTGTATTGAAACTATTTCCATTAAGTGTATTCCATAGAAATTTCATTAGATTGGTTATTTTCACTTGTTAGTGTTCTAGTAAAATGCTGAGGCAACTCTAGCATATTTCTAATTAAGTTTATAAAGCGTTGAACGTATGAAATTATTGAGCCACCCACCAACCATGTTCATGAATACAAGATTTATAATTGACTTAACTTTTGGCTTAATCTATAATTTTTTTGTAGGTATCTAGTATTTGTTTATAATAGTACTATCAGCTCTATCTACCTAGTTTTAGACTCTGAAATGCCCTAGAAAAACCTGAAGCACACTCATTCAGTTGAATGTCTACAAGATTTCTCTGTGAATATAACCAGGAAGAGAGGATATTTGCTATGCACTCAAACAAATTTTAGCATTTGATTTTGAGGAAAAATCATTTTATGTTTTACTACATAGAAATAGGAATATGCAGGTAATAATATGTATCAAAATTCTTGAAGCATTAATCAAATATAAATGTAAAAGAAGCTTATATGATTTATTTCAAATTCCTAACTTTTCTTTCAAGAATTTGTTACACTTATTTATGGTAGTTTCCTAGTCCATTCCTTATAGGATGTAGGTCAAAAAGTATTGCTCTTTAGAGATCATTTAGTTATATAATATTACTGTATATTTAGGATCAAAATATATTAAGATATATAACAATACAGAACTTTTTTTGCTTTTGAGAGTCACAGGAGGAAGAGAGGGATTAGTCTACAGAATGGACCTGAAATAAAGCTAATAGACTTGGATTTAAATAATTTGGACAATTAAAAGTACACTGAATCTAATGAGATCTGGTACTTAACTTTTCTAAAATGGTTTTTACTCACTGCTTATTTTCCCCCCACTTTCCACAGGAAACCAGTTTCCTCCAATTGCAGCACAGGACCTTCCTTTTGTTTTAAAGGCTGGCTACCTTGAAAAACGCAGGAAAGGTAAATTACATGCTTCTAAAGAAAAAAACCTAAAAATGATTTTATCTTTAGATAAAACATGCTTGCAGTATACATGGAGCTAGTATTCTCTTTAGGTGATGGAAGAGTTTTAAGACTCTAAGAAAATCTGGTTGATATTATCCAAACAACAAAGTACAAATTTTCAGTCTAAATAAATTTAATAACAAAAGGTTTGGTCAATTTTCTAGTTATGAACGTCAGTTTTTTGTAAGTGATTCAGAAGCTGTTTCCTGCCTCTTAGAGCAAGGCTGTGGGCCATAACTGTATTCTCAAGGATGAGATTTCTCACCATTATCCCATCCGGCTGAGCAATCAGGTTATCTTGTACTATCCTGTACCTAATCTGGCATTCACCACGTCTTCTATGGTTCAGACCAAGTCTGGCGTATTGTTTGCAATTTTCTATTATTTATTCAGTGTTCCTCTCCACTGGCTATGATAATTGGGAGTTGCCCAAATGGTCTCAGTCTTTCAACACCAATATATAATGGAAATGAAATATGTAAGTCGTGTTATGATACGGGAAATGAAAAGTAGAAAGTTTGCTTATTACCATTCTGCTTGTCCCTAAGGTAATCCCTTTGGGTCTTTCTGTTTGTATTCCATTTGCTTTTCTTAGCTTTCTTAGTTGAATTTTAGAGCCAAAAGAGATAATAAAAATTATCTAGGTCAACTCCTCCTCCTTTTTATGACAGATGAGAAAATGAGACCCAGATGAATCAGTTATCTCAAGTCTTTATAGTCAAATGCCTTTTTGACTGTTTCTTTCAGCAAAGTTTGTTAGCCATGTAGTTGATCCCATAAATACACAGCCCCATCTCTGCTTCAGTTTATTCCTTTTAGTTTTGTTTTATATTTTGTTTTTTGTTTGTCTCTTGGAAAAGAAGGTACAAATTAATTAATCATAGAATTTTACAACTAAAAGGAACCTTAGAAATCATATTTACTAACTTTTCCTTTTACATGAAGGAAATCACATTATATTTGTAAACATAATGTATATTATCTAAACTGTTCCTCTTCCCCCTTTTCTTGTAGATCACAGCTTTCTGGGATTTGAATGGCAGAAACGGTGGTGTGCTCTCAGTAAAACAGTGTTCTATTACTATGGAAGTGATAAAGGTAGTATTGGTGTTCAGTTGTATCAGCTTCTATTGCATGACCATTAGGGTGGTAAGAGTTTTGAAGGGAGGAAAAGATGTTTTTTCCTTCAAATATTTTGAAAAAATTTAGATAAAATGAAACATGTGCAACACTTTTCTCAGCTTCTTTTATGGATTTAAGTAACAACATACGTTCATGTGAGGTTACTGTTCCAAGTGCCTTGGCTGTCTAAGCACTTTAGCTTTATGAACTCATTTAACTACACCTCTGTGAGGCAGGTACTATTATTAGCCCCATTTATTTTACTGTTTGGAAAACTGAGGACGGATAGGTTAGGTCACTTTTTCAAGGTCACAAAGCTGGTAAATGGCAGTTTGGAGATGTGAACCTAGTCATAATGGTTAGAGTCCATGCTCTTAACCACTGTTACTACTATATTAATTTAGAAACAATAAGAACCGTTTTGTAACTTCATTTGCTGATTAATAAATCTCTTGTCATAGTTCACATAACTCTAAGTTCATTATTTGAACAAATACAGCCATAAAATACTGAAATTTAAAGAATATAAGCTTTCTTAGTTTTGTTTTATTTTTCAAGGAAAAGCAGGTGAGAGGTTGGATAAGAGTTATATAGAAATAGCTAACATTCATTTCTAGAAAGGACACTTAAGGAGAAAAAAGACATAAAAGTCCAGTATCACTGAATATCAACTTTCCCATGAAATTGTTACTTCTCAGTGTTGTCTGGAAGTTTATGTTTCATTAAACATTATTTGTAGTTTTTAGGTTTTTTTCTTTATTGTAAAATCAGACAGATACAGCTATTGTATTTCAAATACACTTGAAATACATGCATGCTGCTGGAAGTTGGTTTCACCTTTTGGCTAATGGGATTATCACATTAAGTATTGATTTAGTGGCTAGTTTGCATTCTGTCACTAATTTACAATATGTTCGTAAGTAATAATGGCATCAGTGAAGTGTAAACTAAACAATTATCAACAGGCAGCCTTCTTTCTTCTGCTAAGCTTTAGTTAAGTAGGTGATTTTGTCAGAAAATTTAGAGTCCAGGTTCAGTTATGATTATCTTAGGTCCTAAACATGTGTAACTATTACAGAAACATAACTTTGTGCAGTATTGTGAATTGAGGTCAGAATTTTACTTTTCCATGAAGAAATGTCTCCTGTTTCATAGGACTGGGGGAGGGAGGTTTCAAATCCTTGTGACTTCGGTTTATTTAGGCTTCTCATTTCTAATTTCTTCAAAAATCAATGAATTCAAATGTCTGTTTTCTCCACTCCTAGTTCTAACTGGTATATACAAAGATCAAAGATTAGCAAGAGTTTCCCCCAAATCTAAGAAGTGTTTATGTTTATTTCAAAGGCTAATATTCTATAAATAAATTCTAGTTATTTTGAGGAGGTGCTAAATTCCCATTTTTATTCGTATTTGGTAAAACCTTATGGTAATAATATTCTTTGTAATTTGTATTTTAAGTACTTCGTGGTCCATTTAGCCACTTTACCACCACAGCTTTTTTAAAATGCTATTCTAGCATTCCTTTTTTTTATGTGGATCTTTGAAGATCTGGTTTATATTTCCTTAAATTCTTACCTGTCTGTCACTATGAAGCCTCCTGTTTCCATTGAGATTTCTTATCTGTTTTTAGTGGTTCTTTGGCGTTCTTGGCCAGTTCTGCTTTTAGGGACTCTGGCGGGGGGGAGGAATCTATCTTTAGACTGCTTTTAATTGCTTGTTTGGCATGATCCTAATTTCCTCCTTTTGTGTCTTTTTTTTCCAAGAAAATGTACATGTCACATGAAATTTCAATTTTCTTTTGGGAAATCAGCTGATTTCTACATTGTTGTTTACTGGATGTGTGAACCATTTACCTAAACTTTGAAGAGAGCTATCTAGACATATGAGAACTATAATCCTCCAACTAAGCAGGATGTAGATAAATTGATTATAAAGGCACAGAAGAAGTTGATACCACTTACTAGGTTAAACTGTACTTTGTTAATGTTTGACAGATATGTAGTTTACATTTTCTACAAAAAACATTTTGACCCATCGAGATAATAGTGGCTTAGAAAGAGTAGTTCCAGCCTCTAGGGTAAATAATGCACTTATCTTTGTACCCATAAATATTATCTGTATTTATTATTCATGGCCACTTGGGGCCTTTAAGTTATATATACATAAGATATATATATCTTAATGTGTCACTTTATGAAATCACATCCTTCCTTTCATCTTTTTCCTCTTCTTTTGATTGTCATGAATCTCATTTATCAAACTTCTTAGGTTCTAGATGTTCAAACTGCCATCAAGGTAGTCCTTCACTCTCTCATTTATTCATTTTTTAATTTGATAAACATTGGATACTTGGTAGACACTAGGCACTGGGGATCCAAAGATAATCCTGCCTTAGAGGTATTTACAGTTTGAGTTGTGTGGGTATCAATAAAAGGAAGAGAGGAAGTCATGGGACAGGTAGGAGCTTGGTGAGTAATTTTAGTGCAGTACAGTAATTGACTTAAATAAAATACCATAGGATCACAAGTGAGGGATGGCTAATTGCCTAGGAGAGTTAGGGAATACTTCTTAGTGGAGAGGAACCTTCATTGGGCCTTAAAGAATGAGTAGGAGTTTGTTGGATGAAAAAGGGTAAAATGGACATTCCAGACAACAGAACAGCAGAAACTATGAGTTTCAGAAGGCCTTGGATGTGATCAAAGTTGGAATCAAGGCAGAGCATTCAGTGAGTGATGGGAGAGGGTACAAAAGGCTAAAAAATGAGTTAGGATCAGGTTGATAAGAGCCTTAGGAGAATAAGGGCCTTACTAAGTTCTTTATCTCTGTGACCAGAATTGGCTTTTAGAAGTAATTGTAATAGTGTTGTGGGGGATAAATCAGAATGAACAGTAGCGGGGTCAGCAGTATCCCTTAGGAGGACAGGGAGCTAGTCTAGGCAAGAGAGGTTAGCACAGGGCTGCTGAGAGGCGCTAGTGCAGACTCCTCTCCGCCCAAAGCCATGCTTTTCCCACGGCTTGGTTGTTACCAGCCCTTCCAACATGCCTGTGAACGATGGCCCATTCAGGAACCTGTTGCACACCCTGCTTTCCCTTTTTCTGTTTAACCTCTGTATGATCCTGAATCTGCATTATGAACCTTATCTCCTCCCACTTATAAGGGGGGAGTGGCTAGTTTGTAGTATCTCTTTTCTTCCCACTAAAGGAGTTTTGCTGCCCCTACCCCCAGTCCCCAATTAAAGGAAATTCTAGCGCCATCTAGTATATGACAGCCACATTCTAAATGTGTATCAAAAGTTATTTATTACATATGTGGTGAAATGCATGAAGGAGCTGCAGGTTACCTTAGATATCTGTTTCTACAGTCTCCTGTTGCATACGCAGCAGCAGGATCATTTATTTCCTAATTATCGTTGGAGGCTCTAAGAGGATAACACGTATAGGACATTAAGGTATTCTTGTTGTGATATTTATGTTAACAGTAGTTATATGTTGCAGTAGTCTAATAGACCATATCATAATTATGATCTGAATTTCAGTTGTAGAGGAATATGGTGTATAGCCAAAAAAAAGTAGAAACAGGGCTTTAAATTCCTGTTTTACAAAAATGCCAGTAATTTATTCTCCATTCATTGCTACCTTATACTACATTGTTTTTTAATCAAGTTTATTCCTGTGGTTGAAAATGTGTGGCTAAGTTAAAAACACTTGATTTTTATGCTTGCAGTATACTTTTATTTTAAAGGAGAAAAAAAAAAGATTTTGGAAATACCTAAAATTTCCTGTTACCAAATCTTATGAACCAAACTTCTAGTTCTAACTAGAGTGCTTCCCTCTGGGCCCATAAATATTGCTTGTGTTTACTATTCAGAGCCGCTTGGGGCCCTTAAATAATAAATATATATAGCTTATAGTATTTCATTTAAAATAGTAATAAGAGGAAGTAATAAGTAGTAAGAGGAAGGCCTTGTTAAATGTAAGAAGTAGATACTATCAAACATTTATGAACAAATTTCATATTTTTCTGTTTGCGAGCCATTTGTACCAAATTAGCATTTTTGGTATATAATAACAGAAACCAACTTTGTTTACACAGAAAAAGAAATTATTGGGAGAGTATCAGTTGTCAGACAGAATTAATGGGAAGGCTAAACAACCAGGTTCAGAAAAGCAGGCAAGGACTAAGGGAGGTGAGGTGGCTGGAACTTCAGCTCAGTCCTCATCTCCAGGGACAGTCTGATTGGGACACACTGCTGTCCCTGCCACGCCAGGACTTGTGGTGTTGCCATTGTGCACTGCCGCTAATTGGTGAATGCAGTTAGGAGTGGATTCTGAATTCTCCCCTGATTCTTTTGTTAGTCAGTTCAGACTTAGGTCCCAGGCTGGAACATCTGCTGGACTGATCTGGAACAGGGGAAATCTAGCCTCCGTCCAGCTTCTGTGGTAGCAAGCTGGCTCTGCCCCCTGGTGATCTCAGGACTAAAATAGGAAAGATACTTAGATGCTGGGGATCCTAAAATGACAAATGCTCACAACTTACAGGGATGCTAAATGATTTAGAATTATTTAGTTGCTATGTTTTACTATGTTTAAAATAATAGGAAAGTGGTTTAGGCATATTTTCTGAGAGCCAACAAAGAAGAGAAAAGGCAAGCATATTTGCAAGAAAAATAGGTCTAGTTTGGCTCTTGGTAAGTGGTGGTGGGGTGGAGAGAAAGAATGTGGGGGCAGTTGATGAAGGAAAGGGATAAATGAGAATGATGCTCAGTTTTCTGGTTTGGGGTCTTCAGTTAACAGAGGTGCCACTTATTGAGAAGGAGGACATGACAAGAAAGCTCACAGGTACTGGAGTGGTGATGAGATGATCTCCATTGTGGGCATGTTATTCATTGTGCCTACAGGACAATCAAGAGATGAAACATGTATGGTGAGCAGGTGAAGATTTAATTCTGAAGCTGGGCTAAAGATAGAGAATTATGAGTCACAAGCATATTGATAGGAATTTAATCTCTGGGATTGGGTGAGGTTGCCCAGTGAAAACTATAAAGCCAGAAAAGAGCAAGATTTAGAACCTAACCCATCATGGCTGTTTGTAAGAGATGGCAAAGGTGCAGGAGCTCAGAAAGCAAGCTGAGAAAGTTGGGCCCAAGTTGCAGGAGGAAATGCAAGATACTGCGTATCATGCCTACTAAGACTTCACAAATTACATGTTCTAGAATGGTGATTTTTCAAACATTAGTGTGTATCAAAATCAGCTGGGGTGCTTGCTAAAATCTTGGTTTCCTAGACCCACCCTCAGAGAGTGCTATACAACAAGTGCAGAGTGGTAGGCATTTTTGCATTTTTAACAGGCATACAAAATGCTTCTGAGATATGTGATTCTTGAAATACAATTTGAGAAACATCTTTCTAGGAGACAGTGTGAAATGGTTGAAAATGCAAGGTTTTAGAATCAGACTTACGTTAAGAGTCCTGGCTTTGACCACTTTGGTTGTGTGGCTGTGAGCAAGTTGGTTATTTTAAGGGGTTTTTTCCCCCATCAGAGCTGGGGATATAATAAATACCTTCTCTGTCTCAGAATTATTACAAGGTATATATGAGATAGGCTATATTAAATTTCTGGCATATAAAAGGAGCTCAGCAAATGTGATTCGTTTTTTTGGCACTTAAAAACCCCAGAACACAGTTGCAAACCTAAAGCCAGTGAAAAAGTAGGGGGAAATAGCTATCATTAACCTCATGCATTTTGTTTTGTATGAGATTAGAGCCAACTCCTTTTTTATCTTGAACCTACTGAATTAGAATTGTGTAAAATTAAGTTACTGATTTAATAGATTTCATTATCTACTTTCTCCTGGCAGCCTACAGTTCTGTAGACATTAAATTCAAACAGCATGATATAGGCAAGGTTAAAGTGTGAAATAGAAGCTGAGGGAAATATAATGGAGAAACAAACACTCAAAAATCCTGAGGGCATCAGTGTGTTATAAATAGTATACTATAAATAGTAATACTCAAATTCATACTACTAGATTATCAAGAAAATGTTAAATTATGTTTATAAGAATTGTTTGAGAAGTCAGGGAAGTATGTATTTCAGAAATTTTCCATTATAAAAACCAATATTTTAAAGAGTTTTGGCACTTAAAAAGAATAAACTTCTACTCTTTGGGAAGTTCACTTAGGTAAAATATTTTATTAGTCTGGATAAATGACCTTATATGACTTCATTTCCTCTTTGATTAGCGTGTAACTATTTTTAACAATCTGTCTCAATCTCAAGTCAACAAGTGTCTTTGAAACTGTCCCAGAAAGCGCTGTGGACCTAACCTGTATGTAAATTGCTATGGATTGCTGTGATGCTCAGATTTGCCCTTTTGTCTGTGCTTTGAAGAGATGCTAATGTGACGGGGGAAGAGCAGAAACTCAGCCTTACCTTGTCTGCCCATTCATTTCATAAGCTGAACTTCCTATCTCATGTTGGCTGAATTGGAAATATGGTTACTTTATGGTTATGGATTTGCAAAAGCTACTAAGAAAAAATTATGAATTTCTCTTCGTTCTCTTCAGCCTTTCTGTTACCATACTTCTACCTCTACTTAGATGTTTATGTGATTATTTATCCTCAAATACTCAATAATCAGCCAAATAGGCCTGGGTATTTGTTTCTTCTTATTATTTTTATTTGGTTAAACAACAAGTCTTAGGTCTTTCTTTGATGGAATGAGGTTTTCTTCCATTATAGCTTTAATTATTGGCACTGTTTTATATGTTACTCTTTTTCTAGGATACCCATTTTTTTTCTTATGTTGTATTTTTATCAGTCCTCCATATTCATTATATTTCCTTTTATCCGTTTTCCCCCTTACTCTTTTTTTTCTACTAACTGAGGGAGTTTTTAAAAGGTATATCTGATCTCATTTTTTAAGTGTCCAAAATTTTCAACTTTTTATCACTTTAATACATTATTTGTCTTGCTCTGCATTTTCTATTCCTTTATACAGAATTTCCCCCTTATTTTACTAGCTCCATTCCAATTTCTACCTGTCTAAGCCATTTCTGTTTTTATTTTACATTACATGGTTTCATCTTTCATCTTTTCAAGAATCTGTTTCAACTTTATAAAAGATGTAAAGCAATTAATTGTCTAAAGTTTGTTTCTTTTTCTCATAGATTGTTCTTGCTTTCTTCATTTTGAGTGCTATGTTAAGTTTCTGTATTGCATAACATTTTTATGACACGTGTCTTCATTTGTTGGCTTTTTCTCTTTTACTTATCTCTGGACAAGGGTATACCAGATATCCTAGTCTCTATAATCTGAAATTGCTTACCTCTAGATTGGATTAGTGGCTTCTCTCTGGTTCATCTGACTAGAGGCTGCTCACATCCTCCTCTTAGAAGCTAACAGAACATCTGAAACATGGCCCATAGCATGTTTCTGAGAGTTTTGTTTAAAGTAGCTCTGCTGCCTGGTTGTCTTATTTCCAGATAATCTTAGCACAAGAAGATATCCTGCTCCTCAAAGCTTTTCCAAATTCAGTCTCTGTGATGCTGATTTTGTATCTCCAGACATAATCTCCCATTCCTTGTGCTTTTCCATCCCCGCTCATGTTCTACCTAAGAATTTTAGACCCAGACTAGAGGTAGAAAGCCTGGGCTTTAGATGAGATAGACCAAGTGAGTAGAGTGATTGAGTCTTTGTGCAGCAGGGGAGCCTCTTTCCTCCATCTGATCCTTGAAAATCCTGGGGTTTTTTTCCTGGGAAGTTTAAGGAAATCAGTTGTCCTGTATAGCTTTGATATTTTGCTTCCAACTACTTCCATTTTTAATAGTGAAAATTAAATCCTTTTGCAGTGTGTGTGGATCATTGACTAAAATTCCTGGAGCAGTTAAATTTGTATTGTGTGTGGGAGTGTGCACTGAGGGGGTGTGTTTCAGTGGGAAGATGGGAAAGATCTGGTGTGGTGTTACTAGCTCTTGTCTCACCATACCTACAATGCTCCCTTGCTTGTTTTATGCTCAGCATAAATTTGTTCAGTGAGTGAATGGATGACTTCGTTTTCTTTGAGAATTTTAGAAGAACCAACTGTGCTTAACCATTATTATTTTAATACCTTTTCCTCAATATTATTTTTCTAGTTAGGCATTTGGCATAATATGTTCTAGGAGTACCAGTTCCATAAAATATTCTGTGACGAAAAGGTTCCATGAAAAAATAATTTTGGGGAATGCTACATACTAAATTTCTCATAGAAATTCAGTCAATATATAAATATATTAAGGGCCTCAAGAATTCACAAAAAACCTAAATAAAAGATAATCGACTGGGCATTTATATTCATTATAGTAATTGAAATTCTAACTTTCGCTTCATCTTCCAACAGACAAACAACAGAAAGGTGAATTTGCAATAGATGGCTACAATATCAGAATGAATAACACTCTTAGGAAGGATGGAAAGAAAGATTGCTGTTTTGAAATCTCTGCTCCTGATAAACGTATCTATCAGGTTGGAGTTTTTATGTTGCTTTGAAATTAAGTTGATAAAATGTCCTGATTTCTTTTATAAAGACATTAACATTTTGTTAAAAAAAACTGTCACTGACATGTTAATAATAATAATAAATGCTGGTTTTTATACATTAAACATTCATGTAAGAGGAAATAAATTTTTTTAAAGAAAAATTTCAGATTAGTTCAAGTGATATCTTCTTGAAAGAGAACAAGTGAATATGTAATTTATCAATTACTTCACATGTTGCATTTTATATCTATTTTAATAGAACTGTGTGCTTTCTTAAAAGGATTACATGGCAGAAAGAGTAAAATTATCAGAAGAAAAATATCAGAGCATTAATGCATACTGTATTGCTTAGGGTTGTGAGAGAAAATGAAGGTAAAGGCACGTATCAGCTCTGCAATTCAAGAGCTATCAGCTAGCATCAATATGGAATGTATGTTTAATAAGTTTTAAATATCTGAGATTGCAGTTGAAAGCCAGTTAATTAAGTTGTCAGGTAGTGTGTTGGAATCTGACAAGAACATTTTTAAGAAAACTGTACCCAGCAGTCTAAAGAAATTCATGGGTGTCTTCTAATTGTCAAGGGCAAATTTTGTTCATCAGTTCTGTCTTTGACATTGATGAAGAGAAGCAGCTTTTTTTCCTGCACAGCTGCCAGCTGCTGATCAGAGTTTCAAATCCATCATCCACTGCTTCAATTACATAAATTTGTCAAAATTAACTGTACATTATAAGAAGCATCCTTGCAAGAAAAGTAGTACTAGACATGCAAAGAATTACAAATGGTCTTAAGGAAATGAAAAGAACGCAATATACCTTTCATTTCTACTGTGGTGATTCTTGTTGCTATTGTTTGTTTTTTATTAGTTCACAGCAGCTTCTCCCAAAGATGCCGAAGAATGGGTACAGCAGCTGAGATTTGTATTACAAGGTAAGAACAATCAATTGAACGAGTTATTGCAGTCTTTAAGTGCTGAATAACTGAAAGATGTGGATTTTCACATACGGAAGCTAATCGACTTCTGTGAAAAATGACCAAGGAAACCTGACTGGTATTAATACAGACCATTCACTTCAGATTAATAAAAGCATCTTTTCTACAAGTACCACTTGGAAACTTTGAAATTCACATATTTTTGCAACAATCAATTTTTTTTAAACATTTAAGTTAATGAGATAGCTTACAGCGATATTGTGACTTTAGGGCTGCACTGAGTTAGGAAATAGGGTTTTGAAAATCTCTTTTGCAGTCTTTGAAATTTTACTTCATGAAACATGTTTCATAGATATGGGGTCTGATGTCATTCCTGAGGATGACGATGAAAGAGGAGAACTGTATGATGATGTGGACCATTCTCTACCAATCAGCAGTTCACCAGCCAGCAGCCAGCCACTTGATGATGAAATTTATGAAGAACTTCCAGGTATTTATTTTCTGGTGATCCATTTAAGGATTTTAGGGCTTTTTTTTTTTAATGTCATATATCATCAAGTTGACAACTTGAGAAGAAAATAGTGAGCTACTAAGAACAAGGACAAAGAAAATCTTCAGAACTCTGTATTTTACGAAGAGGGTTGTACTTGAGGTGTTTCAAGTGAGTGGATATACATGTATGAGAAGTGAATGGAATGTTAAAATGAAGCAGACACAGCCCTAATCTCATGGGACTTTTGGCTCATTAGCATTGTTTATGCTACATAATTTTTTAATTAAAAAATTGACTTGCCTTACAGTTTTTTCCACCAACTCACACATCATTTTTTATTTATACATCTTGGAACTTCCATTAACCAGAAGTTCTATGCACACCCCATATGTCAACAACTTCTGCCTCATATATTCCTCTTTGCTGTGGTGTATTACATTGTCTTGGAGGAATATTGTTGAGCTATAAACAAAGGCCTTTTGAAGCTTGAAGTCTTTTTGCTTGATATGTTATCACTGGTGTGAATAAGTTTTCTTATTCTACATTTTCAGGCATGATTTAGTGTTCATATGCCTCAGTATCTGTTATGTAAAATAAATTTAATTGTCTGTTAGCTGTTTGACTTACAGTCTTGAGGGTCAACCTGAAACAGAAAGGCAGGCATCTGGAACTTAAAATACTTAGAATATGAAAACATTACTAATACTCTAGGTGGAAATGAGGCTTTTCTGGCTATTAAAAATCAGCCATTAGAGAAGAAAAAGGGATTATAGGCAATATAAGTGATATTTAACTAACATCTCATGTAGAAAGGCTATTATTTTCCTAAAGAGCACAATTTAATGACAGTATAAACCTTTAAAACTGATTTTAAAATTCCTAAAATATTCAAAATTAACGTATAAATGTGATTTTTCAATAAAGTCAGTAGAGCATAATAACTAGCACGTGGAGTATACAGTCAAAAAGTTTAAATTCTGGCTGTACCATTTACTAGCTCAGTGACCTTAAAAGTCAATTTCTTCATCTATAAAATAAGGCTAATTTCATGAGGAGGTAGTGGTGGTAAATGAGGTGCTGTATCTAAAGCTCTCAGCACAGTGCTTGAATCATAGCAATTCCACAGTAAATTGTAACATCATCGTTATTGTTTTCATGATTATATCTGGTAAATTCTTGCAAGTGCTCGTATGCAGTTATAATGATGGTTTTCTAACCAAGTAAAAATGAATGAGTATAACGGTACTATAAATTCAAGATATTACAAAAATTACTCAAAACATGCATCTACATATTGTCTTTTACTACCCTAGAAGAAGATGATTAGTATAAAAGCATAATTTTGTGGCAAATGGTCATTTGTATATTTCTGTTATTTTAATAGAACTCTGTGTTTATGGCTCCTTCCTTTGTGATTTAGCCCAAGAAGTTGGCATCTGCCATGGCATCAGTTATCCTCAAGTAGGGAAGAATATTCTCTGCTTGTCTTCAGTCACACCATATCACTAATACAGTTATGTTAGTCTTTAAAATGTTCAGAAGAGCTTGTGAGAATGCACCCCGCTGTAAAATGGAGGAGGGTAGTACCTTTAAACATGATATCACTGTCATACACACCTCGTTCCTTTAAAACCCTGCAGTGAATGGGTTACATTACAATTGTTGAATTGACTGTTAATTAAGTTCTATGCTCCTTCAACTTGACCATCCTCTCCCTGCCCCTCAAATGAAAAATTGGTTAGGAATAAAGAGTTATAGCATAGTTACAGGATTTTCATAATAAAGATCCGAGCAAGACCTCTTATAAGTAGCTTGAAATCTTAAAAATATGAAACATCTTTTATTTTCTCTCACTACGATGTTGTTCTTCATCACTTTTTTTTTTAGCCTAGAGCCACAAAATTGTTGGAAATAAGCAGTTACTCTTGAAGTGGTCTTACTTCTTGCTGTAGTCCTGGAAGAAATCTAAGCTGCTCTGGGATTCCTCGCCCCTGCCTGGGATCCCAGTTGCTGAATAAAGTGATTGAGCTTGGTAGAGCCTGCAAGTGTGCCCCTGGGAAGGAAGCTGGTGTAGGCAGCTGTGAAATGTCTATTCTTTCTTCCCCAGTGTAACGGAGAGCCACTTCAGTGTCTGCACATTTCAAGTTTGCGAGTTTGAGCCAGCCGCTGCAGAGGGGATTCTTAGTGAAAGCCCTAAAGTTGGCTCTTAGAGTTAGAGGATTTGTTTGATGAAATATCTAAAACTAGAAAGGGAACTTTTATTCTTTCAAAAATGATCTCTCTTTCAGAAGAGTTAAGCTAATTACTTTCACTTCTGTGGAATATGAACATAATTTTGAGAGGAGGTTTAGAACAGTGGGAAAGCGGTGAACAAATTTACAAACTGTTGTTATCTTTCCAGTTCTGTGCAAAGAACTGGGTATATCTGAAATAGGACTGGTTAAATTCCCAGAATTAATTAATAGTATCATTTCAACACAATTTTCTGTTAATTATGCATAGTTGAAAACTAAGCCTTTCAGGTGAAAGATGAAGCCTAAAATGTGCTTGAAGAAAAATCTAAGTATTCCACATGTTACTTTAAATCACAGAGTTCTTTTTCTGAGAAAGTAAAGCTCTTACTTGAATAAATGTATTTTTTAAATGTGAAATAAACCTGCAGTGTTTAAGTCTCAAGAATAACAAGAAGAAAGCTTTGTTTAAAAAATTGTATTACACAATATCCCCTGAAAAATGTTTATAATTCTGTGAGAGTGCAAGTAGTTTCATTATAATTGTTTTTCAGTTAGAATACTCTAATTTTATTACAGCAGCTTCTCTTTAATTTCTTGTTCATTAATTTTTAACTAACTTCACAAAAGAATCAGAATAAACTTGTAAGATTTCTTTGCATTTAGGATATTTATTCATATGTACAGAGGAGTTGAGAGAATGCCAATTCTGAGGAATAATAAAGGCATTTGGCTTTTCTTCAAATATCCTAATACTTCGACATTTTTTATGTCTCAGTACCTATTAGCATAGGCCAGTCAGGTTTGCTTACATTGTGATATTACCATAGCATATTTATATTTGCCCAGCTAATAGTTTGATCAGAGTGTGTTAAACTACTTCATAACACAGTAGTGAGTTCATTTGGCTTAGCACACATTTCAGAAGTTATTGCTCATTTTTTTCTTTAGAAGTACAGAAGAATGTTTTTGTTTGAATTTAAATCTCGAAAGGGGAAAACAATACTTCGGACATTGCTGCAAAAGTCAACTCAGATTGCTTTTCCCTTCTAATTACCATGTCAGTTGATTTTTTTCTATAATGTCAGGAAATTGTGCAGAAACAACACAACAAAAAGTTTTTTTTTAAGATATAGACTCAGTAGAATCAGCTAGTAGCAAGAATGGTAACTGCCAGTTAGCCTGTTAAACCTGTAGATTCCAGGGGAATTGCATTTGAAATTTTTCCGGCAAGTGGGCTGGAGGAGAGAGGGTAGCGTAAAATAGGAAGACAAATTTCTAATCCCATTAACCTATTTTAAGTGTTAATTCATTCTTTTCTTTTATATTGTAATGATAGATCGAACTGTTCCAAGCCCATAAAGGGTGTTTTTATCCTTTGGTCATTCAATTACATTTCAAATTTATTCAGCCCAACTATCAAAAACTAAAATGGAATATAAAGTAAAATGCAGTATAAATTTTTTTCCATGAAACTATAATATATACATAAAAAAGAACAGTATTTGAGTACTTAAATTTGAAGCAATCTCCAGCAAGTGGATATGAAAGCCAACTTTATCAATAAGTGCTTACCCACCCACCTCCCAAATACATTTTAGCTGTATTTTCTTGCTGAGTAATTATCACTCATATTCCCAAATTAATAGCAAGATTATAGAGGCCCTTGAAGTCTGGTATTAACATAATTCCTGATTTCACCAAAAAATTTCTTCTCATTCTGTCTTTGGAATACAATGGAAAGATGCCAGTTGACTTTCATAGAATCACATATATTCAGCATTTTAATGTTAGTCCAGGCAGCCTCAGGCATTCCTTTTCCTTAAACTATAGTACTGAATTATAAAGTGTGGTGATTCAATCCCCAGTACCTCCTCTAAAAATAACCCCCCCCAAAAACAACAAAAACAAACAAAAAATTAAAATTAAAGTGTGCTGATATGGTATCCTATTATGTGGTATGATGAACTAGAGTCAATTTTTTTGGATGGTTTCATCTCTGAACTATGCTGAGAATTATCTGGAGTTATAGAATATAAGGAAAACATCCATAAATTAGGGTCACTGCACACATCTAATTGTTTATATTTTTATTTTTCTGAATATAAATGTGATTTTAGTGTTCTTCATAATACGGCATGAAGCTTTGGAATGTAATTTTGTCTGTCATCTTGCTTTTCTCTCCTTTGCCATTGGCATTGCAAGCAAAGTCTTCTCATTACAAGAGATGGTTCAACACATACAAAACTCCAAATACCTGTGAGTGTGCAAAACATATATTCCTATTTGTAGAGAAATAAACTAGGCTGTTTTTGCAGCTTGGCATTACATCAGTGATTCTCAACCAGGGGAAATTTTGGACCCCAGATTTTTGGGAACCATTTAATGATTAAATGCCTGGAGGCATTTTTGGTTGACACAGCCTGTGTGTGTGTGGGGGGTGTGTGTGTGGGGGGGGTGTTTTACCGGAGATAGAGGCTAGGGATGCTGCTAAACAGTCTATAAAGCACAGGACAACCCCCTCAATAATTATCTGGCCCAGAATGTCAACAGTGCTAAGGTTGAAAAAGCTTGTCTTAGGAAAGTAATAGACAACTTTTGGTTTATCACCTTTTTATCTGTGTCTCTTGAGCTGTAAAACCTATGCTCCTTGTAAGAGTTTATTTTTATGGACAAAACACAGATTGGCTTATGTAAGTAAAACAAGATTACAGAGAATGGTTCTAAGTCATAAGGGGTTAGCTGGACTTGTCTGTCACAGTTTCCTTCAAGGGACTGAACTTCTGTCAGTCTTAGAGAAATAAGAAAACCATGAACAATTTAAAAAAGGGGGAAGCAATTTCTCTATTTTCATGAGATGCAATCTGTGAAGGGAGAGTCTTTTTTGAGATTGTAAATAATGTGTCTTTATTGTGTAGACACTTGGCTTATATTATTCTAATAGGGTTGCTCACTTGAGACTGAAGTGAAGGACCTGTAGGCGAGGGCATTGGATCTTAAAGGCAGTCAGGCCACCTAGGACAATGCAAGGCCAACCAATACCAGGGACACCTGGAATTCGACAGGTGGCTTTAAGAGGAGAGGAAGTCCAATAATGGAATTTCTCTCCCTTTTGGGGCCTGGACTTGGAGGAGATTAATGGGCTTGAGGTGGCAAGAGACGTGGTCTCTGCTCCTGGACCAGCAGGGAGTCCCTGAGGCTGCCCTGCTGGGGGATGAGTGGAGATGAGCTTACCTGAGGGCGCTTCACAACAAACCACATCAGGTGGTTCTTTAATATTCTCTGTACATTTCCCTTTTGCTATTGCTGAGTCTTATTTTTTAAATCTTTACTTACAAACAATATATACTCCCTGGAAAAAAACCTTAAAAATATTGCTGATGGGCATAAAATTTAAATGTAGAAGTCATTCACCTTCTATCCTAAGGAAACATTGTTAACAGTGTGATTCACGTCTTTTGTCTTTTTTTTTCACCCTGTTTCCAAATATACAATGCATATAAAACTTAAAAAAAAGAGATTCTTCTTTTCATTTGCTTTCTTGTGCCTTTTAATTCTTTTCCTTTCCTTTTCTTCCTACTTCCTTATTACCTTCTTCCTTTTCTCATTTTATTTCCTCCCTTCCCTTTCGCATTTCCATCCTTTCTTTTCTTCCTTGCAGATATTCCTGAGCACCTGTTATATGGGGGGGGCCGTGTACCTAGGTGCTGGGAATCCCTCTGCCATTCTTACACAGGCCTTAAATGGGTGTAGCTACGCCTTCCCTTTCTGGCCCAAGCCCCTTGACTTACAACTACACCCTTAATTCCCCATGTTTATTATTCCCTGTATTATATTCATGACTGATGAGTTTGTTATCTTTGCTTTTCTGTTATATGAATCCCATCTTCCAGCAGATAGTGTCAGAACTATCGTGACATCTCTCAAGCCATCTTCCATTTCCCCTCCTCCTCTCCATCTGCCTGGCTCCATCCACTCCCTGCCCCATACACACAGAATACCTTTCTCTGTATCTGTAACCAGTAAATTGTTGTGGTCGGGAGCAAGGACTTTGGAGGCAAGCACACATTTGAGTTCCAGCTCTGTTCCTCACTGTGTACTTCAGCCAAAAGAAAAGTGAACATAGAGGTACTGTAGAGAATACAAGAAACAATAGTGAACATAGAAATAGGTAAAATATGTCAGTAACTTTAATTAACTATTGGTTATTTTTAAATGAGCTTTTATTTTTAATTTAAAAAGAGAGGTTAAACTAAGCTAGCAATTTAAAAAACTAGCTAGGGCAAGATGGAGATGCAGAGTAAAAAAGTATGCTGAGTATTGTCTTATTCAGGAGGGAGGAGAAGAGAAATATGGAGGAACTACAGTCTTTATGAGGAAATGTATGTTAAAATTTCAGAGTAAATTCTAAATAAATAGGAATGCAATCTTGGGTTCCCAAAGCAGCAGTAGGGAAATAAAAAGTGATCACAGAAAAAATTGTAAATCCAAATGAAAGCAGGAGAAAAGAAAAAGGAGCAAAGAGAATATATGGTAAAAATAAGCCCAAATATAAAAATAATTACAATAAATGTAATTTGATTAAAATAATTATTAAAAGATAGAAATTATCACATTGAATTAAAAAAAATATCTAGCAACATTTTTAGAGGAGATATTCCTGAAACAAAACCAACATAGAATTTTTCAAATAAGGGAATGAAAATAAATATACAGGCCTATTCAAAGAAAGCTGCTATAGCAGTGTTAACATTGGGTAATAAAGAATATAAAGCATAAAGCGCTAATAAGACTACAAAATGACAATATGTAACAATAGTAAAAGATGATATTATTAAGTTTAAATGTATCTTTCTACATAACTTTGAATTCTATAAAGCAAAAATTTCTAAGACAAATCTGACCTACTCACTTACTTAATGTGGGCAATTTTAAAATACTGTTTTTAGAAACTGGTAGACAAAGGGGGCAAAAAGTTAGTAACTATATGGAAAATGTGAGCCCCTAAAATTAATAAACTTGATCTAATCTATCTAAAAAGATACAAAAAGATATATGTTCTTTTCAGTACACATAGAATATTCATGGAAATTGACTATCATATATAAGTTTACAATTGAAATCTCAACACATTTCAATGAATCTGTATTATACAGACTATGTTCTTTAAATAAAATGAAATTTAATAAGAAACCAGCACTAAAAAGATAGTTTAAAATACCCAAGCCTCTGTGTTTGCAGGCTGAAGAGTAAATTTCTGAACAGCTCATGAGTTAAAAGAGGAAATCACAAAGGAAATTGCAAAATATATAGTTCTGAAAGGCAATGGAAATAGTACAAATAAAAACTTGTGGCATGGTGCTTTAAACCGTATTTACAAGGATATGGAGATGAATAAGACAAAGGAGAGAATTAATCCCCAATGAACTGGGATGAAAACAATTTAGAAAAAAAGACTGTAAAATAAATACATTTACAATGATTAAAGAGAGAAAGGAAAGAATAGAAACATTAACAAGAGAAAAGGACCCTATGGAAAAGGGACTGATTTCTTTTTTAAAGAACCAAATAAAATTACTAGAAATTATTGATGGTTTGGAGTATTTAACCACCAAATTCTAAATTTTCAGACTCACATATTTATGTTTATATTGCCTAGGGAACCATTAGAATGCATACTAAAAATTATGAACCAGAAGCAAATGTCAACCATTCTAGTCAGACTAAAATACTAACATTTATAAAGGAAGAAGAAAAATTACACTAATGGGGCTGGGCTGTTAAGATCTTTCTGTGACCTTAGATGAAGAATCCTAGAACTGTGCCAGAAGGTCAGATATTCACAGCATAGGTATCGTATCTGTACATAACTGAGTACTTTATGTTTAAGTGCCAAGAAATGGCAACAATTAGTTTCAAAGCATAGCTTCTCACCACCTTGGTATCAGACTTTTTAACTGGAGCCTTCATTCTGCAGATGTGATTTGCCTCCCATGTAAAGTATAAACAGATCAGAGCCTGCTTTTGTTTTTAATTCCTCCATGCTTTCGTAAGATGGAATATAATGAAGTTTGTAGTAACTTCTCAAAGAGTTATTTGCCTCTTTAGGTCCCCGAAAAAAAAAAAAACATACACGTACACATACACTGTAAACCTCTATGAACAGACACATCTATAGAGACAGACTACAGCAGGAGAGTATCAGGCTTCACTATTTTTGCAGATAGGTCAGCTGGGAATATCAACTTCCTAAGAGTCCTTAGCTGTTTACTTTAAAGCAATGATTAATAAGAATGTACAGGTTCAACAAAACGTCAGTGATAAATACAAGCACTTTTCATATCTGGCCTCAGCACATGCTGCAGTTGAGCAAATGCAAAACCTTCAACAAAGTGGGGGAAAAAAATCCAGTCTGGCTTAATTAAGCTCAAGTGAAATTTGACCTTGATTTTGTTTCAAACAAAACCTTCTTCTATAGATTTGTTCCTCTTTATTAGAACTTCATTAGAATTCTTACCAAAAATGACAACTCTTCATACCTACTTATCGATTAGCCCCTTTGTTCCCTATTACAGGAGTTGAGATGGGACAGAAAATTTGTTCTCATAGACAAATAAGGAAATTCAGCTGCACAGTGGCACTTTGGAGCTCTCTTTGGAACCAGATTCCAGATCTCCTGCCTCCTGGTGTAGGCCTCTTTCCACATTCCTGATTGTAGTTCGGGGAGCTACAGCTTAATTCTGCTTCTTTCTCCTTAGCATAAGAATTCTTGGGAGAGCCCTCTTTGGTCCCCGTCTCCACTGACTCTTCCCCGCTCACTCCTTAACCCCTGGCAATTTGCTCTTCTCTCCTTATCCCTCACCTAAAACAGCTCCCTCGGAGTCACTAGTCTCTCCCAGTCTTCAGTCTCTGTCCTCAAATTCATTACTGGAAATTTTGTTTTACTGGACACCCCTTTCTTTTGGAAACTGTCTCCTCCTTTGGCCTTTCCCATTTTGTTTTATTGCTAAATATAATATTTATAAATAAGCACCTTGGCCTTGTTTTAGATTTCCTCATTTCCTGATCGTGCTGATTTTTTCAAATTGTTAACCTTTTACCCTTTATTTCTTTAATAGTAGAGCTTTTTGTTTCTGCTTTATCTTTTCTTAACTTATCATCATATGTTCTGATTATTATGCGTTTGATTTTGATTGAACAAATATTTTTTGAAAGCCCATGATGTGCTAGATTCTGTTCTAGCTGTTGGAAGTTTAGGCATAAAATGCAGACCCGGTCTCTAGTAAGATAATTACAGAAAGTAGCAAATGATATGAAGATATGTGGATGATGTGAAAAGAGCAACTATTTATACTGTATAGTCAAGAAAGAGGTGACATTTAAACTGAAACCTCTCGGATAAAACCTTTAGTAAATGCCAAAACTCAAAACGAAGCACCTTCTAGGCACAGGAAGCACCAAGTGCAAAGGGTCTGAGGCTGGAGAATGCTGAGGTGTTAAAGGAACCAGAAAGGAGGGCCACAGTAGAGTATTGTCATATCCTCCACCATTCTGGGCATTAACACTTTTATCAGGAATAGCTCATCCGATGTTAAGAGACAACATATATAAAAGAATTCAAAACCTCCTTTATAAGCTGAGTAATACTTTTTTATTTAATGAGGAAAATATTTTCAAGAAAAACAATTCAAAAGTTTCTTAATGTGTATCTTTCTAATGCTTCAAAATGTTAAATAGCTCTCCATTGCCTGTAGGATAAAGCCCAAACTCCTTACTTTGACATTCAAAGGTCTTCCACAGACTGAAACATTCTAGCTCACTCCCTATTACACTGCACCAGCTCTCCAATTGCATCAAACTGACTTTTACTCTTCATTCTCCCCAGACACCCTGTACTGTCCAGCCTCACAGTTTTGTTCATATACTTCATCTATACAAAATACTCTCCTCTTAGTTCAGCTTCTAACCAGCTCCTCCCCACTTTCCAGACCCAGATCAAATCCTGTCTCCCCAGAAAGCATCTCCTACCCATCCCAGCATGAAGCGACCTCTGCTTCTCTGAGCTTCTATAGCACCATTCATTTGA